TGAAACAGAGTCCAGGAAGTTCCAAATCCCAAAGTGCACATATCACATACCACGGTTTTCGAGCATTCACAGCACATAAATTTGGTTGAGCGGGCCTATATGCAGTGTACATCACTGTGGCCCAAAAGCTGCTAGGAACTCAGCTACTTGTAAGACTGGAAAGAGAAGGAGGTTGGCTGGCAGGGGCGTGAACAGAAAAACATTTGGCTGCTTTTGGAGGGGCACTTTGTGTAACCCCTGCAGCTGGAGGACCTGCCTCCCCCCCCCACCCCCCCAGCAGCCAAGCGGAGCTGCTTCTCCCCTCCCACCCCCCAGCAGTCGCGGAGCTACCTTTCCCCTCCCCATCCCCCAGTGCCAGAGGAACTGCCTCTCCCTGCCACAGCCCCGGGGTGGAGCTGGCTCTTCTCCCCCTCCTCCTGTGGCCCCAGGGCCAGAGGAGCTCACTCTCCCCTCTCTGGCACCAGAGGAGTTTTGTGCTCCTGCTGATTGGGGAGGAACCTGTGCTGCCCCCCGCGCGCACCCCTGTTGGCTGGCCATGTCAGCAAGCTGGAACTGGGACATTTATCATCTATACTGCAATAACACTTAGAGGCTCCAATAAAGACCTCAACATGCTAGACCAGGGGTGGGCAAACTTTTGGCACATCTGGGTATGGAAATTGTATGGTGGACCATGAATGCTCACGAAATTGGGGTTGGGATACAGGAGGGGGTGAGGGCCCTGGCTAGGACTGCGGGCTCTCAGGGGGGCCAGAAATGAGGAGTTCACAGTGCAGGAGGGGGCGCTGGGCTGGGGCAGGATTTGGTTTGGGGGGGGGGGGAGGGGAAGAGGGAGGCCGAGGGCTCCAGCTGAAGGTGCGGGCTCTGGGGTGGAGCTGAGGATGAGGGGTGCAGGAGGGTGCTCCAGACTGGGACCGAGAGGTTCGGAGGGCGGGAGGGGGAAATCAGGGCTGGGGCAGGGGGTTGGGGCGTGGGAGGGGCTCAGGGGTGCAGGCAGCACTTACCTCAAGCAGCTCCTCTACGCATAGGAGCCAGGCCGGGGGGCGGGGGGAGGAAGAGGGGGACATGTCACTACTTTCCAGAAGCTGCACAGAGCTGTGGCACACAAGCATGGAGCAGCCCCCGACCCTGCTCCCCGGCTGGAGCACGGGAGCGGAGCAAGCCCCAGATCCCGCTCCCCAGGGGGAGCTCGAGGACCAGATTAAATCGGCTGGCAGGCCGGATGTGGCCTGTGTGCTGTAGTTTGCCCACCCCTGTGCTAGACACTGTACATGCCTATAATGACAACACAGTGGCCACCCCAAGAATTTACAGTGTAAGTATGTGATGACATAAAAGATGAATATGATGAGAGATAGGGGGCTGAAGAGGGAGATTGTGATCAGGGCCCTGTGTACTTCGCTGCACTATGGGCTCAAGTTTTGCAGCATGTGCTATTCAATTCAATAGCCATGTTAATTAGGTTACCTTGTTGATTTTTTGCATTACCTTGCCAAATCCTCTCAGAAGGTGCAGCAGTATATTTTATGGAATCCCTGAATAAAGGAGAAAATTACTCCCGATAAGGCTGAATGTTTAGGTTCCCTATAGAGACAGCTACTATTACCCAACTCCTGGGGATGCAGTGGGGGAAAAGGAGTATGTGGCAGCTAGGTAAAGCTCTATCCTTCCCAGGCCTCATGCTGCTACCCTTGCCTCACTGGGAGGGGAGCAGGCACCACCATCCGTCCAAGTGGCATGTGGGGCAATGGTATGAAAGTAGGTGTTGTGGTACACCTAGGACTGCAAATGACTCTAATTGAACCCTGCATCCTTTGCAGCTCACAAGGGACGGATGCCTGCAGCTCCACAGGTTGGCCCTGGCAACCCTCCCCCTCTAAACTTTGTTCAGACCCCCACCCCATCACATTTTGTATCCTGGGCAAAAGGCTGTCTGCCTGGCTGGCTCTCAAGGCTCATCAGCTCAGCCTCTGGCTGTCACATTCCTCCTCTGACCCACACCCTCAAAAGACAGGCAAAGGCCATCCTGATGAGCCCAGAGAGCTTGTGTGTCTCATGTTCCAGCTCCCACTTTTATGAAGAGCAGGGCAGGAAAATGTGCTACTTATTGTAATGCACTCCCTCTTGAGGTGAAAGCAGTACTAAAAGCGGAAGCTGCAGTCAGGTCACAGCAGAGCAGAGAGAACAAGATGTCAGACTCCTGACTGCAGTAAAATGGGGCATTGTTCAGCAGTTTGGCAAAAAGTCAAATTCTGCAAAATAAAAATCAGTGACACAGAATCACAGAATACACAAGGCCCTGATAATGACTGGCATAACAAGCAGGATCACAGAACATCAGCTGCCTAGCCACTTTCATGCATTGTGCAGCTATCACAGCAAAGGTGACCTTTAAAGAGGTGTACAAAGGAGGACAATGCAATAGCTCTGCAAACTTTTACAGGGAGCTCCTCCCGTTCATAAAGGGCAGCATGGGAGATAAACATCCCTTGCATAGTTGAGAAAAAACGGACTGACGGGCTTTGCCGTTGCTGGAAGAGCAGAAGCAGGGGTGACTGCTCAACACCACATAAGAGAGGATATGTAAAAGATGCAACTAAGTCTTGAATGGCTTTAAAAGTGAACGTGGGCAGTCTGTTTGATGCAGACAAAACTGGATTTAAAACATTCAATCAAGAATTTGGGAACCCGCAAAAATGTACAGTGCCCGTGTTTATGAGGAAAAACCATTATTAAGGCTGAAAATCATTCACGGAGGTCACAGGAGGGGGATCAAGGCTGGGGCATGGGGATGGAGCATGGGAGGGGCTCAAGGGTGCAGGCTCTGTGAATTTTGCAGCAGCAGGTGTGGCTGACCCCAGGGCCATCCCAGCAGCTGGGGACGCCCCGGAGCCAGACGCTACTCTGGCAGCCCCAGGCAGCTGGTCCCGGCGCTGCCCAGGAGCAGCAAATCCTCAGGCGCGTTCCCCTCCCAGCAGGTAAGATTTAGTCACAGGTATTTTTAGTAAAAGTCATGGACAGGTCACAGGGCTGTGACTTGTTGTTTATTGTCTATGACTTTTATTAAAATACCTGTGACTAAAACGTAGCCTTAACCATTATCTCACATTTGGAGACAGAAGAATGGGCAAGAAGTCTTATGGGGAGGTAAAAAAATTTTTAGAAAACCAAACCTGAACATTGTTGTTTGCATTTTTAAATCTTAAATTTTATTCAATTTTAAATAATGTTCCCAGCAACATCCAACCATACTGAATAAGTATATTAGCTGACTGTTTCTGCAAAGTCAGTGTGAAGTGTAAAAATTAACAATATTGACACTTAAACAGTGATGAGGCTTCAGACCTAATGTTCTATTTGGATGAATGGGGCAAGGGCAAACGGCGCGCACACACACACACACACATCCCATTTGTCTATTTTACAGAATGAATAGGATAGCGCATCAGATTAGCGTCAAAAGCTTCTCTTTGCAACCAGAGGGGCAACATTTTTTTTTAAACTGACAATTTTATTCTACAGAAGACGCTGAACTAAAATCTGTGTGGAAAAAAGAATCCGTAGAAATTCCACAAATAGAGATTTAGAGAGATGAGATCCAGCAATCTCTTGTTTGCTCATGGTTCTCTCCTTTCTGACGATATTGTCTCATTTTTTTCCTACGATACTTTTCCATTACCACCAAACTAGTCAACAGTACTGTGTATTAACTCCTCCCATGTAAAATCATATTGGTTAGCCCAACTGTCATAGCGCCACTGACTTCAATGGAGCTGTGGCAATTTATACAAGCTGAGGAACTAGTCACTGGATTATAGACATTAGTGTGGTTGCACCAGGGCAATGCAAACAACTCTACCTTGTCTACACCAGGAAAACAAAAAGGTGTGCTTTTACAAAACAAAAACACAACAACAAAAAACAACAAGCCCCCATCCCCCAAAAAACCTGATTGCGTACTTGTTTTAAACATATTTTTAAATGCAAATTTTCACATAGAAAAGGTTTAACATCTCTAAAATGTGCTAACTGGTAGCTGTCAATCCCAGGCTTCCCTTTGGAGTTGATCACTTTAAAAAAGGTGCTAACATGTTTTTAAAAGTATTAAATCCTGTCTACAGTAGCATTTATCAAATGTTTTGACTCTTGTTTTTAAAAGCACTGTTTTTTCTAGTTTCGATAAGGCTCCAGTGTGTGTAGACATGATTTACACCAGTGCAGTGCAATTTGTACTGCAGGCTTACCGTAGGCCTTGCCTACAGGGCTCTAGAGCTTGATTCTTATTTGGTACACTCATTCCCAACCATTTGCAAAACCCAACCCAAACAATGTCTCCTGTAAGATATCCCGTTAGCGACACACTCCAGCCAATAATTGAAACAAACAAACTAACCCCTCACAAATTGATATAAGCAGCCCTTGATATTTTATATGGCATCTAGTTAACCCTGTAATGGCTAGATTTGTTATCTACAAGGTGAAACATTCAAGAAGAATCATAAAAATCATAACAAATTAAAATCAGTTTCTCATGCAGTAATTTAGCATGAATAGTGTTATGTCCACAGTGGTGAGAAAGTAAAACTGATTCAGAACCAAGAAGGAAGAAATTTGGGATGTGAGTGTTTTATTTTGGCTTTTAAAAAGAGATTCTAAAATGCTGACTTGTTCCATACTCAGTTCTGGATTTTGTGACTGCTCTCATTTAATGCATTAGAATTACAAACATCAGCAAGCAAGCTGAAAGAATAATCTTTGCTTTTTTTTTTAATTTGTGCTTTGACAGAAACACACACACACACACACACGGTGGTTCTAACAGGTCAGAAACTCCACATGCTCTTAAATGAAAACACGTAATACATAATCACATTTTTAACCTCTGATTCACCGGTCCTGTGATTCAGGAAGAGAAATAATGTAAACCAATGAACTGTCACACTGAAATGTTCAATCTAGTAGTCTTGACTTGATCATTTAAAGAAAAAAAAGTCACTTACAGCACTGGATGAACAATCAGTTCTGGACTATATGACTTTATTACAGCTGCTGCATCTTTGGTACAAAATACGTGGGATAAGTCTGCACCCTAAGAAAGAAAATTTGCAGAATTACAATTTGTAATCTTAGTAGTGTGTAAACAATTATTCCAATAGTTATTCACTGAATAACTATGAATTCCTACTGCTTGTTAAATAAAGCAAACTTGGTACCTGTTTGTTCCATCTTGACTAGCATGCCATTCAATAGTTTGGAGAGAAATTACTTTATTTCTTAAATCTAACTTCCAGGCTAAATTGCAAACTTACAGAAATACTTGCTTACTGAACAAGATTATGGCAAAAACAGTGAAAGTTTAGGGCCAGAGCTTGAAACCCTTTATCACAGGAGTAATCCTCTCCATTCATGCATGAGCAAGAATGATAGGCCTAGGCCCACAGTAAGGAAAGACAACAAGGACACAGCCAAGTAAGTAGGAGCTGTGTTACAAAACAAACAAAAATCGGTGTTGTGCTATATTCATGCAGGATAAACAAGATTACCCATGAGTTCTTTTCCAGTCCCAAGGTTTTTGATCCAATGAGCCAAATCTGGACTAGAGATAAACTGGCACAATTTCATTTATTACAGTTGAATTGCATGCATTTCTGAGTTTGACCCTAAGCTTCTTTTACCTCTAATAAGAAAAAGCAAAAATAATATACACGTAGGTTAGATAGCCAGGGACAAGAAGTTTCCAATACTTCGGATGTAGAAAGAAATACCAAACTTAAAAGATACAAACACATAAAGGAAGGCAGTAACCAACTAATGGCTCCTCTGGTGTATTACTATAATTTAATATTTTCCAAGCCCTGAGCAATTTAAGTTCCTGATCCTGAAGTTTGTTCTGTTAAGGTGAAATGTTATGCCTGTGCATAGGCCTACTGAATTCAGTAAGGTTCAGTAAGACTGCCTGCACATATCAAATGGCTGTATTATGGCCATAGTATCTTGTTGGATACTGAGTAGTCATCTCTGTCCAACTTTAAAACACAAAAGAGCCCAGGTTAAATTATTTTTGGTCTTGCCTAAATTAAATAATAATAAACTTAGATTACTAAAAAAAAAAATAATGAATGACTTCTACAAATCTGATAACTTCTATGACTAAGAAGAATATGAACCTTCTAGAACTCAGAAATTATTAAAAAGAAAAAAAAGGTTACATTTCTAGAAGAACTAAAATCCCACAGTACAATGCAAGCCTTTTACATATGACACTAAACAATCCCTTTATGTTATTAAAAATACATTACATATGAAGGCAGGAAAACACATACCACTTTTAGAGCTGAAATTGCAGCAAAATATGGTGCCCCAGTGTACCTACAAATGAAACATTTTCTAGGTTAGGAAACAGACACACACAATTGTATCACAAGATAAAGTTAGCAGTTGCTCACCCTGCTACAATGAAGAATCGAATTCAAGAGCAAGTTAAATAAACTCAAGTAGTTCTTATTTATAAAGGATGGGTGAAATCCTGGCCCCACTGAAGTCAATAGCAAAACTCCAAGTGACTTCAATAAGGCAGAGATTTCACCCTATTCATTCACTCTCACTTGTGTAATATTTACATGGATTACATCACAAATAAAAGCTAAAATAAGAGTCATCTCAAAGTATTCACATAAGCACGAGAGAGAGAGAGACAGACTCAATCCATTCAGAAAAGAGACTCAGAAAAAGCTCAAGTATAAGAGATAGTACCTTGGAACATGGCTTGGCAGGTCAAATTTGGGCTGTAGTAGACCAATCAAAAAGTGAATGAGAGAGACAAGGGTAATCCAATAGGGAAATCCTAACTGTAACAAAATAGTGTATTTAGCTCTTTATGTGGTATTTTTAATCTGCAGATTTCCAAGCACTTCACAAGAGGTAATATCTCCATTTTGGCCATCTCTAAACTGAGGCACAATAAGGTGAAATGACTCACCCAAAGTATCACAATGAGTGTCATGACTGGGACAATCAGCAGTCTTGCCTAGGGATCAGAGCAGGTCAGAGTTCAAGACAGGCCAGAGAGCAAAACTGAGTGTCAGGTGTCAGAAAGGGTCAGGTTACCAGATCAGCAGCAGGATCAGATACTGCAGGGGAAGCAGTCCTAAATACGGGGAACCCAGCTGCAGGGACAACTTCCTGTCTCTGTGCTTGGTTTAAATGGAGGCTCGGAACCAATCAGGCCCGCCACCATTCTGTCAGTCAGATCCCAGGACTGGACTCCTCTGTCAGAGTTCAGCTTCTATTCCAACAACTGTTAGGTCACTGGGTGACAGGTTGGAACTTACTAGCTCCTCAAGACCAGGGTTCAAGACACGTGGTCCGTAACCGGGAATAGAGCCTAGGTCTTATAACTTCCAGTCCAGTGCCCTCCTCAATTGACCTACACTGTCTCCTGTTCCCCAGAGTTCAAATCAGGATACTATTAGCAAAAATATGCCACATGATAAGTGTTGAGAAGGTGCATAATAAGAGGCTCAAAAGGCAGCTTGAATCCAAACCAAGGACCATGACCAGGTAGCCAAGATGTAGTTCATAAGGCTAGTGTAAATCAGGAATTGTATAAGGACATCACAACTATGATCAGTCTACAGCAGATGTTTCACCTTGTTACTTTATTCGCAATGCTTCTCCCATAAGCTCCTTTCACACAATGTAGAAGGTAATTTAAAGTAAGAGATTAGGGTGGAAAGAAGAGAGAAGGTAGAGGGGAATGGAACTCAAATGACCAACCTTCAACTGCATGTATAGCCAAAACAGGGATGGCATGACATTTACCAGAGATGGTTTTTACTACCACAGGAAAAGCTAGTTAGAAAGTGCCTTAAACGGTGACTATGATAAAAACTATTTCATTAATGCATATCACCTTACACTCAGTTTTAGCTACATTCAAATTGTGGTTACATAAATTAATTTCTGAATCTATTAGCTTAAGTTTGGCAAAAAAAGTAAAACTGAAGTGGGTGTAATTCTAATATATGTAATCATAGCATTGAACATGGGAATGTCTACACATTTTGTTTGGTAATTTCTCAAGGAAGTTATACATGTCAGTCAGGACCTGTTCCATTTTTCCATATTACATAAACAAAAAGCAAAAACAGTTGATTCTGTGAAAGTGACAATAATGCAGAGCTGTAGGCTTGAAGCATTAAGCAATCAGAAGCATGCAGAGTTGTAGACCACCACTCCAGGTCCATCTGGCCGTACAGCATTCTGTAGCACAAGCCCAACTTTGATGAAGTGTACAAACTGAGCCTCAATTTTGAACCGATGTATCTGAAGTTTGAAAAGATTTGTTCTATGCTTGCTGAACACTGATGCAATTGCACTACCAGTTCTATGAAGTCAGATGCAATATCATTACTCTTCAGGTTTTTCCACCATGCTACAGAGGAAACTTTTTCCTTCATAGCAGATGAAAATTCTGATTTTGGATATGGAGTTTCTACTTTAAATGCAAGTGAATATGGCAGAAAGTAAGGATTTTTACTGAGCAACCACGACATGGCAATTTCTTCTTGTTTAGTTGACAATTTCTTTCCTGCTTATTTTAGATGAAGACCAAACCAGGTTGGCCAACACGCGTACAGGAGTAATTGCTTCATGAAATCTCTTTTGTGCTGTTGCTTTGCGCGCTGCAAAATCTTCAGTAGATCCAACCATACTTTGCATACAACTGCAAATGTTAATGCACCCCTTTGGAATGTGTCAAATGCCACAGCAACTGGTTTCCATTGACTGATCAAATTCTTATGCTTCTTGGTAAATCCCTTGATAATTAGTTATACTGACCACTCTATCTTCAAATTCTGCCTCATGATCACTCACAATCTTGAGATAACAGCGCCAATTTTTAGTTTATGTTTCCAGATATGTTATTTGACTGTTCCATTGTGTTTCACCAGGGATTTGGGATTCTACAGATCCTTGGCATTTTTTTGAACAGGCTCCAGTATTCACAAATATTTTTGTAACTCTACTACATGTTTTATCAAAGCACTTGGTACAAGGTCTTGTCCAAGTAGATTTAGCCAATGTAAGGCAAGTCCATATGTAACTAAAGTGTCATTTTTTCCAAATCACTTCTCATTCTTTACATCTTTTTCCCCCACTGTCTGTGAGGTAGCTCTTAACACCACAAACATACAATTCATTTACTAATGTCTTGGCTTCTCTTGCCAGGGTACCACAGTACTTTCCAGTCTTATTGCTTCCAGTCTCAACCTCTGCCACATTTTGAGATTTAACCCAGACCAGTGAGAGGTTGTGTCACTACTTGCCCTGTAAGTCTGAATGCCTTAAAATGCTCTGCTGCTGTAGCTCCCTGTCTGTCCGCTCCCAACCAGTGGACAAGCATGCACTGAATGACTATGTTAAGCAGCCCTGGTTCAGCAGCTCTGATTCCAGCAGCCTGCTTGCTACACTACAGTCAAACTCTGGTCTCCACCAGCCTTTGTTTTTATTAGCCAAGTGACCCCAATACACCCCCAATCCCAAATTTCCCCAAAACCATCTACCCTGAAAATGTCCAGCCCTGTCCTGGAACATTCAGAGAAGTAATACGGTCTGCTGCTCCTTTAAAGACATAAGAGCACAGCAGCCTGTTGCTTTACTGGAATTAATAATGAATTTAAGTCAAACGTAGCAGTAGGCTGATTTAGAATAAAAGTAAAACAAGTTTATTTAACCAAAAATACAGAGATTTTAAGTGCATTCAAGAGATGAAGTCAGAAATGGTAACAAAAGTGAAAACATGCATCTAAAAATGTAAAACTTAAATCTAGTAAGATAGTCTTTGTTAAATATGATTTTCCTCTGATCCAGTCTTCTTTCCACCTTTTAACTAAATGGCCTGGTCAGGACATCACAGAGATCAAATTGCTTTGTTTCTTTGTCTCCTTAAGGCAAAGAATCCCTTAGGGGCTCACTCCCCCTCTCTTTATAGTTCAGTGAACCTTTGAAACATATTCTTCTGAAGGGTACCGTCGGGTAAAGTTCATGTCGAATAAAGGAGCCATGAGGTTTGGAGGATAAGTCTCCAAGCTGGTTCCTCCCCCACTGGCTGTTGCTACTATGCACATTATCTCTTCCTGCGGCAACTTCCCATACAAATGAATAGCTCACTGAATTTGGTCACACCTGTTCTGAGGTGTTGGCGTCTTTTCTTGTCTGAGGAAAACCTGTTTATCAACTCCCCCTGACATGCCACGTTTAAACACCTTTTAGTCACAGACTTTAAAGCATAATATTAGTGAGTCTCCATAGTTTCACACACAGCCTTGTTACATATATTGTACAATGATATTATTGGCCAGCATGTTATTTGTTTTCAAATTATACCTCACAAGGCATACGCTGTACAAAAATCATTGCAGTGGTGTGAAGGGTGTGAATACAGAGGTGCCTACCTCACAACCACTGATACATAAACCACAATTTTCCCAGTGTGCATACAGTTAGCTATCACTGAGTCACTACACATTACTCCAACCATCTGCTTTTCCATATAATTTATTGCATGCTACTATCCTCAAGCCATCAGTATTTGTGTTTAACAGTTCACCTGCTACCTGCTTTCGACTGGATGCTTTGCAGCTTGGCCTTAGGCATCTAATCATTGCTTGAAAAGTTGGATGTTGAATAAAAGAGAAAGGAATATTATAGCCATAAAATATTCTGCAATTTTCAAGTCTAACTTTTGTTTCAGTTTTGGAGTTGTTTTTGTTATAAAAATATCCATTTGTGGGTCAAAAACCCATGATACTTACTCCTTGTTTTCTTTAGCCGACCTGGATCTAGCTGTTTTTTGATGTAGTTGGCAATTGCAATGTAGGTATTATCAGTACTCATCCTCAGGGTTTGATTCCAATTCTACTACATAGTGTATGCGCAACATGCCTCAGGTGGCACGTGACCAGGATTCAACACCAAATTTGGTCCACTAGTTGGATCATTAGCTTCCCCGAGTTGGGCCAGATACTGACAGGGAGTGCAGTGTGAATGCTGATCCATGCATTTAGCCAAAGGGGGTCTGGTGTCTGTCTTCTTTCCACAGCATTTTGCAAAATGTTTCCTCATATGATCTGCCTTCCCATTCACTTTTTCTTTGCAATTTCTGCCTTTAAGACTCTCTTTGATGCCACCATGAACTTTCTCAAAATAGCCATGAACTGGGTCAAGTGGTCTTCCACCTTTGCTCATACTGAAATACTTTGACTTGAGTCACTGTACACGGGAATTCAGTTGCAGCAATTGTACTCCAGCTAGCCAAATCAAGAGACAGAGTACTGGACTAAACAGTTAGTTTGGCAATTTACCTCAAACAGAAAATGAAACTTCTAAATCTGGGACTACCCCTTCGCTGTTTGCTTAACAAACATGTAATTTTCATTGCTATAGCAAAGAAGGGGTAGTCCCAGATTCAGAAGTTTCAGTTTCTGTTTGAGGTAGCTTAGGCACTAGCATACAGTTTAGGTGGAGGGTCTTTTTTGTTTTATTTTAACTGAAATTAAAAGGGACCATGTTACTGCAAAATCATCATCAAATTGCTCGATATTTGCCAGTAATTTTCATTAGCATGTTCTAATAATTTTATTCTTCCAGTTTCCCAGTTTAAACTGGTATTTACCAGCCCTGTCCTAAACTAGTTTTCCCGGCAGGAAATTGCCAACCCTTAAGTCTTGCATCACTGACATAAGGGGACATGTATTCTGATTCTAATGATGGACTAAGCAAAGGCACCTTTGAAAACATGGGGTTCACAATCCCTTAAAAACAGTATTTTCAATTTAAATGCTTTTTAAAAGTAGTAAAACATGTACTTGAGATCCCTAATCAACAACAGCATATATATTTCTGTTTAACTTACTCTTGACATCCTCCCACGATGCCTATCCGTCCATCTTGACCTTTATGCTTCTTTGCTGTTAGAGGAGGAATAACATTGCGCACCAATTGAAAAATATTCTCCATGTCCTTTATAGAATGTGTTTTGTGTAGTGAAAAGGCTCTCTCGATAACTGAAAAAGATAAAGACATTAAAAAATTACTTCAGAAATGTTTCTTTTTAAATTGATAGAAACCTCAGTGAATTTTGAAACATTCAGAAGTATTGGTGTACTCAATTTCTATAATAGAGGTGTTACATAGTCGTACAGAATGATTAAAAAACCCAAACTCTCCAATTTTACTTTTAATAAAACTATTCAGTCTTGTACTCAGTAATTGTCCTTGCCATACCAACACCACAAGTAGAAAAAAAGATGTTTGAAGAAAGTTAGGACACAACTCCGAAAATATTCTGGTAACAAACAAGAAAATACCGGCTCTGTGCAATGTCAGCAGAAAACCCTTTTCTCCAACCTTTACAGAATCTAACGTTAAACCAGACTAGCTAAACTGTAGCAAAAATCACTTTATAGTGTTCAATAATGATAAATATTCCTGGCTGATCTCTTGTTTTGAAAATCTTTCTACAATACAGGCATTCCACTCCCATTGGGATCAAAAACTAACCTTTTTGGAGCATGGCCAAAATATCATTGTCACAATGCAGAACATAACAAAACTCATCTCTGCTCTGGAAATAGGGCAATATTTCCCTCTTAAAATTACTCCACATTTTACAAACTATCATAAAATCTACAAGAAATATGCATCCCATACACCTCACAACCTACTTACAGGGCCATGGCTGCTTAAAAAACCTTCAGTTTCCTTGTTTTTCTAGAACAGAGACTCTATAATGAGGGGAAAACAGTAGAAAACATGAAAAAAAAGGAACTCTAGACTGGATTTTACTTCTGCCTAAAGATTTCACTTCAACTTTAGATACAAATAAGTAAGGTCCTAAGTCATTAACATATATGTTGCCTTAAATAATTACTTTTAAAGCATATTTTATTATAAACTGTAAAAAAAACCTCATGATTGGAAGTCAATTCTGAGTTTCTCTTGCTACAGTATAAAATTACAACTATACATCTGCATCATCAAATGTAGTATGAAAACCCGGCTTCAGGTTTTCACAGTTAATAGAATGTCTTTCAGATTAAAAGTGAATGCATTTTAGAAGTAATAAATATTAAGGCTAAATATGTACGGTCAGGGCCATCCCTAGCTATTTTGGTGCCCTACGCAGCCGCCCCCCCCTCACGGGGTGGGGCTGTGTGGGGCCCCAGGCCTCCGTGGGAGGGAGCGGGGGGGCTGTGTGGGGCCCCACCCCAGGCCTCCACGGGGAGCTGGCCCCAGGAAGTGGCCAGCCCCCATCCCCAGCCTGCTCTGCTCCCCTGGCTCCCAGGCTTGGGAGGAGGGGGGGGGAACTGCCCCCCCAGCACTTGCCGGCGGCGCGGCAGGGAGCCAGGGGAGCAGAGTAGTCTGGGGCCGGGTCGCTCTACTTACCGGTGAGTGCAGGCCCAACCGCTTCTGGAACCCTCAGGAGAGAGGGGGCGGGACTGGGGCAAGGGAAGGGGCCCTGGGGAAGAGCCAGAGCAGGGGCTGAAGCAGCAGCAGCTGCGCAGGGCACCAGGAAATTTGGTGCCCCAAATTTCATGGTGCCCTACGCAGCTGCATACTTTGCGTATGGGTAAGGATGGCCCTGTGTACTGTGTTCAAGATTTAGGAGCTTAAGTAGTTTTCTGTATCTGTTTTCTAAGTTAGACTGAAAAGTGAAACCACTATTTGTGAGAAAAACTGTAGTATACATACAGGTTCTAATTTAAATATTAAAATATTGCTCAAACACTTGGATAAACTATTATGACATCATAAAGTAATACTATAGACCAGATATCCATTCAATAGAATAAGAAAGTATGTTAACTTAAACCATAACAGGCCCGAACGTTCATTCAAGACTCCACTAAATTTAAAGAGAAGTTTGGAGGTCAGAGAAACATAGGACTGGCCCTTATAGTTTGGATATTTAAATAACCAAATAAATGTAAGTTCTGATAGCCTGTCCCGAGCCAGAAACTGGCTTACAGAGTTTTATTTCTAATTCTGCTTAGCTCTATTATTTTTTTAAGACTACCCATCCATTGAATACTGAACCCACATATGATTTTAAAAACAAAAGTAAAATAAAACAACTTTTAATTCCAACCTGATGGGCTACAAACATCATAAGCCATATAGGCTTTGCTGTCAACGTTGACAAAACAATTGGTATGCGATTACTGTTATGGTCCATTCTTTCTATGTGAACATACAGAGAGATCATCAATATAAATGACACAAATCTTGAAAAAAGTCTGTGTTACTATGCACTGCATACTTGATTAGACTCTAGTCCACACACCTTTTGTAAAGGGGGGGAAAAAAACAACAAAATAACTTTGAATAGATGCCAATTCTAAGGATATTCTGAAAAATCCAGACCCTGATAAATTCATAAATGAATTGGTTCAGGAGGAAAATAAGATTCAAGATATTTTTGTAAAGAAATGTAAGTATTTGAAGGATAGATCCTCAAGCAGCCATAAACTGTCATAGCTCCATAGCATTCAGCTGAGCTATGATAATTTACATAATTTGAGGATCTGACCCTTGGCCTGTAGATAAAGTATACAGTCACATAATTCAACATCTAGAGCAGGGATTCTCAAACTTCATTGCACCACGACCCCATTCTGACAACAAAAATTATTACATGAACCCAGGATGGGGGGGGCCAAAGCCCAAGCCCCACTGTCCCATGTAGGGGGGGCCAAAACTGAAGCCCAAGGGCTTCAGCCCCAGGCAGGGGGGCTATAACTTAAGCCCTGCCACCCAGGGCAGGAGCCCTCAGGCTTCGGCCCCAGGTGGTGGAGCTCAGGCTTCAGCTTCGGCCCTGGGTCTCAGCAAGTCTAAGCCAGCCCTGGTGACCCCAACTAAAATGGGGTTGCAACCCACAGTTTGAGAACCGCTGATCTAGAGTGAAATCCAGGCCCTACTGAAGTGAATGGCAAAACTTCCTTTGACTTCAGCAGGGTCAGGATTCCAGCCGTAAATGTTCAAAACATGTCTGACATACCCACTATTAAAAACCCCAATACATGTTATTTTTCGAGGTCTTTCATTACTTTGAATTAACATTTTCAAGTATGATGAAAGCTTTGACAGCAAGATTATTACTGAAAAATGTTAAGATCTATATTTCTTTTTTCAATTTTATTTAGACTATTGTTTTATTCTGCTGCAAGACACATTCTTGCTTCCAGATCATTTTCAGTAAAGGTTAAGCTCCTAACATATTATATACAACTGCATATTATATACAATTGAGTTCTATACAGATCTGAATGTGACATGAACTGACCAGTTCTTATGGACTACTTTTCCATAATGTTCGGTCAATATTTAGAATTTGTTAGAGTTTTTTTTTTTTTAAAATATCAGTACAATAGCATGGCAAGACATTTCAATTCAATTTACAGACAAAAAACTCATCACAATATTGAAAATAAGTCAAAGCTAGACATTTATTTTCAGATACTAACACCAGCCATCGCACAAATCTTTTAAATATAATAGATCTTATTTATGCTATAGAATGAAGTACCTATTGGTGGAGAAAGTGCTGCTGTCATAGCATTATAATTAAAGTTATCGCCATATGATCGGTGATTTGCTCTCTGAGGAGGACTAGTTGGCATAGACTGTGACCTTTGTGATACTGTAGAAGAAATTCCTGCCAACATCTGTCCCAACATTTGTAACATCTGGAGTTCTCGAGCATGCTCAGCTTCACGGCGCTTGTCCTCAATTTTAAGCCGCTGCTCTTCATATTTGTAAAATTTCTCTTCTGTATCCACACTTTGTTGTAGGAATTTTTCCATCATTTTATCCAGTGTTAAATTTGCATGGCGTTTTTTTGATCTTTTGGGTTGAGAGAGTGGTTGTGTACTGGTTTGAGCATTGATTTGTTTAAAGCCTAAAACAAAGTAGATAAAATTATATTCAACCTTCCAGACATACTAAAAGGAATGAGTAAATAGTAAAACTGTACCCCTTATGAAATGTAGATCTATTTTGCCATATCAAGGTATTATTTTGTTTCAAAATTAGGCATGGTTATTTCTGATGATTTTAAGAATACTAAAATAGGGAATACATGCTTATCCAAAAAGTTATCTGCATAACCTGAAATCAAATAGGGACACCTTTTAACTGCTGTAGTACTAAACTTCAAAAATAGGAAGAGGCTTTTTGATCTTTTAAAAAGGTTTGTGAAGGCTATTCAACAGTGCAGCCTCATTTGTGTATTGCAGGTAATTACACTAATCAGAATTGAGTTTCAGCCTGCTGGCGTTTTAGATTTGCATTTCAAAAAAGATGTTAGTGTAAACAACACTTTGATGAGATTTATGTATAAAAAGGAGATTGGTCAACCAATTGGCTAACTTCTGAGTGTTCTGAAGACAGATTCAGGTTTTAGACAAATACACACAGCATAAGATTGGACTTTAAAAAACATTTGAGCAGAGTACAAAGGGCAACAGGGAAAGGGGCAGGCTTTATCTTGCTTTCTATATTTCCCACCCCCTGCAACTGTACTATATAACTGAATCAAATAAGAGTTCTTGAAAAGGCCCACTTAGGTTTTTGGCAAAGTAATGACAGTACATAGGAAAACGATCTATAGCAAAGTTTAAACATAGCAGGAATTATGAGGATGCTGCTGTTTTTATCCAAAACGGTTTGGCACCTCCTATCTTATCTCTACATTAGTTTCCGATTTGTTTCCTATTGATAAACGAATTAAAACTAGCAGAACCGCCATTCTCCCTCCCCCATATTGCAACTATTTACTTTGTAATTTTTTAAGAGCTTCCTGAACTAATTCCTTTCGGCTCCTGTTTTGGTTCTGGGAAGAGTCAAAGGGACGAAACACTGGGATAGGGAAGGAGAAGAGCAAAAAGGAGGAGAAGAGAAATTAAATGGAGGAGATAGGACTCCATAGTGGGGGGAAGGGGTTAAAGAGACTTAAAGGCGTTTTAATCCAGTTCCCCTTGAAGAGGATGAGAGAGAGGTCTGGAAGGGAAGAGGCTAGTGCTTCCAATCGCTTCTGCACATTAGCTAGAGGCGCTAGTACTTCTATTGTATGGGGGGTACAGATGATATGGGGGCGAATACGGGGCGAGGGATTCCCCTACCGGCGTGTATACGGGGTGGGGCTCCCCGGCCCGGTTGCTGGTACTCACCCTCGGCGGGCGGCACGGGAATGGCGAACGGGGGGCACTCCACCTTGATGGGGTGCTCGGCGTAGGACGAGCACTCGCCCGAGTCCTCGGTGAAGTGGTCGTGGGGGGACTCGAGCTCGGCGTCCTCGTCGAGCTCGGTGTCGGGCTCGCGGCTGTTGTGGGGGGTGCCCGGCGTGGGCGGCCCGGCGGCGGGCTGGGCGCTGTCGGCGGGCTGGGCCAGCGGCTCGGGCGCGCTGTCCGGCCCGCCCCGGCAGCTGAGGATCCGGTCCATCTCGTCGTAGTACTTGCAGATCTTGCGGGCGTGCCCGTTCTTCTTCAGCCCGTCCCGGGCCTGGTAGTACTGGCGCTTGAGGCCCTTGATGCGGATGCGGCACTGCTCCGGGGTGCGCTCGAAGCCCAGCTCGGCCAGGCGGCAGGCCACGTCCCGGTACACATGGCTGTTCCGAAAGTTCCCGTCCAGCGCGGACTGCACGTCGGCCTCGCCCCAGATCTCCAGCAGCGCCCGCGTCTCCAGGTCGGACCACAGGAAGCCCCGCGTGTTGGTGATCATCCTCGGCCGGCCGGCCGGCGCTGCAATGGCCGCGCACCGGGGAGGGGGGGT